TGAGAAATGGAAAAAATGGAAATAAAGTCTTTGTAAATAGGGAAGGGTGGAGGGGGTGAAGGGAGGGCTAGGAATAGGGAAAAAATAAGAACCAAGATGCATTATGTAAAGGTACAATTCCCAATGAGAAATGCAATTGTATTGTACACCTAAAATGTACCAATAAAAGAATTTAACAACAACAACAACAAAAAGATGACTGTAAGGATGTATTTCAGTAACAAACACTGGCCTTTTTGAATCCAACACTTGAGGAGAGAGAGGGCCCTGGAGATTTTCTTTCTCCTTCCCTCTCTCCCTCTTTCCATTCCTTCCTTCCTTGTTTTAGGATTAAACCCACACCCAGCACCCCTCTCCCAACGCCAACTTCTTTTGAGAAAAGGTCTTGCCATGTTGTCCTAGCCAACCTTCAACTGCTGGGTTCAAGCATCCTTGTGTCTCAGACTTTCAAGTAGCTGGGACTACAGGCATGTACCACTGCCTCTGTTTCAAGAGAATTTTATTTTTAATAAGTAATCATATTGACTATTAAGATCAGACACTTTTAGGAAACACTATTCTACTCTGAATCTCTTAATTTAGAAATTTAGAGATGAAGAAATAAGTTCAGAAAAGAGAACAGGCTCATCCAAGGTCATATAGCCACGTAATGACTACTGGGATAGAGATGAACCTATTTGTTCAACTGTACATCCTGACTTTATGTGGAATTCCTCACATACAGTGTTGTGTCTCATACATTGTAGTCATTTAGTAAGTACCTATCTGAAAGAACAAGATTAGCACCCACCATCTATCTGCTAGGACCTTATGGGAGCTGGACACTACTGGATAGGTACATTTAGATAGGACACAGCAAAAAAGAGGTAGAAGATAGATTTGGGATGGCAGGAGTGGGTAGCTTAAGTTGGTAAAGCAAGAAACATGGCACAGAATACAGCACTGTGCAGCCCTTCAGAACCCTCAGCCTTGGATGTGAGTCGACATGACATTCAGAAGGTATTCTTTAACTTCTCTCCTAAATCCTTATCTCACTTGTTGGTCCTAGTTTCTGACACACCACCCCCCTCCACCCTTTCCATGATTTTGCTTTCTGATATGGGGTCATCTCTTCTAAGCCAGGAGAAAAGGCAGATGGCAATGAGGCTCACTCACCTGATGAGTGTGCAGAACTGTAAGAATGATGAATTCCTTAGCGCTCCTAGAGAGAAAAGAGGGAACAGGAGAGCAGTGTATCATGCACTAGGTATTCATCTAATATAAGAAGCAATGCCAGCATTTTCCCCTGGGTTGCACTGAGGTATATGGATTAGGACAGAGAGTAATCTGAGTACCTGCATGGATGTCTCACCTCACATCATTTGTGGAGGCTGACACAAACCATCCATATTGGCTTACACGGGCATTTGATGATGATATCAACTCTGGGGTTGTCATTTTTCAGGTTTTCTTATATATTCCTTTTTACATCTTTCTGTAGAAATCCTCATACCTTAGGAGCAATTTTATCTGTAGACTAGAAAATTCTCAAGGAAAACAAGACCTGAATTACGGAACTCAAAGGGCATACAGTTAGAGTTCTGGGAACCATGTATGACTATTATTGGTAATTTTGGCATTTAAGTGAGAGGAGACTCTCAAAGGAAAAACTCAAAAGAGGTCATTTGGTCATCATGACTCATTCTCAGCAGATTTAACTGAGGAACCAAAAATGAGAGCCATGGAACAATAGATAGAACCCAGAACTCTCCAGATAACAAATATTCAAAAGGGCCAAGAGTTTGAAACTCTTCTGACAAGAATTATACTAACATCAAAGAGGTTGTGAAGTATGGAAATTCACTTTCAGGAATACATAATCATTTAAAAGAACTAAAAGAGGAAAACAGTTTGCCTAAAGAAGCTTCCCTTTGCCTTGTTGGGCTTTTTTCAAATGTTTATGGGTAAAAGGCATTCAAGAAGTAGAGTCAAGATGCCCTTGGTTCTGGGTATTCAAGAAATGACTAGATCCCCTGCTTAAGGACTTTGAACATTTCCCATATTTGGTGAGGCAAAGCCCAGGCATGAATGAGCTGCAAGGTTTGGGAAATTCCCAGGAGAAGTAAAGAGTTGTGTTATAAGGAAACTACAATGGAAAATCCTTTATCTTGAACAGGGAAAGGGCACAACATAAATCACACGGTTCATCTGCTTCAGCCCCTGCAATATCTCCCCATTTCATTTATAAGAAAGCCATTGTTCCTCAATCAGGCCAGACACACTCCTGCCCTAGAGCACTGGCACTGGCTCTGGCTCTTCTCTTTCTCCAATACACTCACCTCTTTCCAAGCCTTTCTTCCAGTATCACTTTCTCAATGACGCCAACCTTGGCTATGCTGTTTAAAGTTACATTCTGCACCCCTGTGCTCAGCACTCCTGATCCTCTTTACACAGATCTACTTTCTATTTTTAATAACATTTATTGACTTCTGAGATATTGTACAATTACTTATTCATTAGAAGTATCTCCTTTTATTAGAATGTAAATTCCGGGCCAGGGATTTAGCTCAGTGGTGTTGTGGCCTGCTTTGCAAGCGCAAGGTCCTGCCTGAGTTTGATCCCCGGTACCAAAAAAAAAAAAAAGCTAGAATGTAAATTCCAATGATTTCAACGAGCCAAGATTTTTGTCTCTTATTCACTGCTGTATTTTCAGTGCCTAGAATGGTGCCTGGTGCATAGTAGACACTCAATAATAATTATAATTATTGATTGAATGGATGAATGACTCACTGACCCCTAAGGTTACCAAGAGTGAGCTCTGTTTTGACTAAGAAGAAGCTCTGAACTCCCTCACAAAATCAGGCTACTTTGTTTAGGATGCAAAGATATTCACTAGAAGCACAGCAGTGACTTCTGAAGGGTCAGGCTGAAAGAACCCCAACATGCCCTGATGGGGTTAACTTACCCCATATTGGTGTGGAGGGTGGAAGGTAAAGGGCAGAGGGCAAAGAGTAGGGGAATACAATGGACAACTGAAGTTGGAGAAGAGACAAAGTAAAGGACATCAGAGTTTATTTTATTTTATTTTTTTTTTTGGTACCAGGAATGAAACTCAGGGCCTCGTGCCTGCCAGGCAGGCACTGCACCACTGAGCTACATCTCTGGGCCCCAGAGTTTATGTGTTTTTGTATTATTATTATTATTATTACTATTATTTTGGTGATGCTGGGGATGGACCCCTAGACCTCATGCATGCTAGGCAAGTGTTCTACCACACTAAAAGTCATCAGGAACCAGATATATTTTGAAGTATTGAGCTAGAGGGGGCACATGGCAAGAAAGACCTGCTCTGGGCTTCAGGACAGAGCATTCTAAACCCACTGGGAGCTGATGAGAAGGTGCTGTACTACATATAGAATGTGAGGTCTGCCTTTGAAAGCCAGGGAGCGACTTTGTGGCCAGATGGGCTTTTAAGAATCTCAGAAAGATGAGTAAAATGAAAATACTTTGAACCAAGGGGGGTTAAAGGAGATGGAGCTGGACTACACAAGTGAACAAGGGAGAGGAAGAGAGAAAGAATATGGTTCCATTTGTATATGTGCTGGTGAAACCAGCACAGGATATGGTTCTATTTGGGGAAGGAGAGCAGCCAAAGTCCCCCAAATGGTGGTTAGCCCATGGAATGCAGTCTTCAAAACTATGCAATGGTGTGTGCATGTGGCATGTGTGTGGGGGAGGGGAGAGCATATAGTGTGTGTGTGTGTCTGTGTGTGTGTGGGTAAGAGTTGGGCAAAGGCAATGTGATTACTCCCCATTTACAGGTGGTGATGGTCTTCCAACACGCCTTTTCTCTCTTACCTGCTCCCACCCAGGGAGAAAATTAAAACATCTCCAGTGCTGTGGGCATAATCCACAATGGCAGGTTCCCTTCCTCAATCTACTGGGCAGGGATCTTGATTTTGTTTTCCTTATGTGTGCCTGATTTTGGGGGAAAATAGGAGGTGGGAGCAATGTTTTGCTTGCACTATGTTTATATCGAAGTGACTTTTAGTAACTTGATTCTCATTGGTCACTTGGTCTATCCCTCAAATGAAGGGGCAAGTGAGGAGATGAGTTGGTGAGGGGTGGAGGTGAGGCTGGAGCAGGATGCTCTCTGTGTCTACTCTTAACACTGGGGCAGGTGAGGCCTTATTGTGTGAGGCCTTTGGGTGACGCTAACTGGCTGGTCCCTGAAGTTCTAGATAGCTAGGAGCTACGGCTTGGGCTGCTCTGCCCGGAAGGGCTCTTCTTCCAGGGTCAGGGAGCATAGTGGTAGTCCTGGTGCCACTGGTGGGGCAGAAGTGGGGACACTGCTCAGCTACTGCCAAGGCCCCGGAGGCCCCTGTTACCTGATGAGTTCTATGAACCTCTCCCTGGGGGCTTCACTCACGTCCTCCTCATTAATAGCCACAATCTGGTCACCAGCCAGGAGCTTGTCCTCAGAGGGGCCTCCTGCAGAGGAGAGGAGAAAGGCATGAAAGCTTAGAGCTACTGCCAGGAAAGCACAAGTCTGGGCAAGACGCACAGTGCCTGAGGGAGCCAAGCTGAGGCCTGCAGGAGATGCAGGCTGAGGAAGGTGGTGGGGAGGGTGTTATTTCCAGCTGTGGCCTGCTGCTACGGTGGATGGAGGGCAGTAGAATGAAGAAAGAGAAAGGCATAGACCTCCTTTCTCTGCATGTGGTGTGGTAGCAAAAGGTCCCAAACCCAGATCTTGTACTCAGATGAGGTTAGTGTTTTACTGGCTTGGTTCTAAAGAGGAACACAGACTTCTATTTTATAGGAAGGATTTGCTTTGGTATAAGGAATGACTTTCAGACTGCTAGAGGTGGTACAGGTGACAAGAGGAAGGGGAGGGATCTTGTAGCTTAAATATTACTTATTTGTTTTGTTTTGTTTTTTGTACCAGGGATTGAACTCAGGACCTTGTGCTAGTGAGGCAGGCACAATGCCACTGAGCTAAATCCCCGACCCTTAAATATTATTTATATTTACTGGTCTGGAATGGTCTAGGCATTCACTTGCCTACAAACAGGGGTATGGACTAAAAGACCTACAGGGTTTAATTTTGTTTAACACTGAGTGATGCTACTCTCCAATAAATGAGGGAAGCAATGCACAGGCTCTTGGGCAGCTGGAAATTTGCTTTCTTTCTTTCCCATCCCTACACCTGAAGTCAAGAAAGCAGATATGTCTGAGGGCCATATTTCTTGGTTAGGATAAAGGGCATCACAAAGCTGAGCTGCCTCTGCTGTTCAGCAAGATCTTTTTGGAGAAAAGTTTTTCAGAGACTTAAAGAGAATGAGAAGTAAGATCCAGCCTGACTCAAACCTGAAAGAAATGTTTAACGACAAGTTCCATACTCAAACAAACCTTGACTCTTATTTGTGTCCACTTTAAAAGGCCAGATTCCAATGTCTCTGGCTCTTTTCAAAGAAGTGTGCTACCCAAATTCTAAAAACATGAACACACATAGCCAATATGTGACAAGAACACAGCTCATTGGATGTGGAGCTTGGGGCCCCTGTGCTAATGCTGGCTATGCCAGCAAAGCCAGCAGCAGCGGGAACAATCCCTTTAACTTATTTCATTCCGTCTATCTAGTCCTGTCAGAAATACCAGTCTCTTAGGTAGAGGCCATTCCACCTATTTCCTCCTCTCTCCCTCCCTCTTTCTTTCTTCCCTCCTTCCCTTGCAATGGATGAGGTCCTCGTGGAACTTAAACCTCCTTCACAGGAATTAGCTCTTTGATGGTAACGGTAGCTTCAATCTACTACTGCCCTCACAAATGGTTTCTTGGCTTGCTCAACCACAATTGCTCCTGTGTGAACCTTCAGCAAGCAGCTGAATCTTCAGCTACTCATTTGCTTTGTCTTTTCTTATGGCCTTACACATCCTCTGAACTAAACATCCTCTGCATTCAGCTACCTAGCTGCCTGGGTAGAAGCAGCGATGTGGATCAGCCAGAGTCTTTTTTAAGGCTACGCCTGTCAGTCCCATGGCTTTTTGTAGCTCTTGCCTGGGGTGTTCCTTCTCTTCATCCCTCCAACTCTTTTCTCTTCATCTTTTACCTTTTGTAGCTGACCCCCTCCAGGCCTGGGGGCTTCTGTCAGCCCTGTGAATTCTGTCACCTTTGAAGTTAAAGCAGAAGCTTCTGACAGTCAATTACTAAGTTTTATCTGGTCTCTCTTTCCCAGGACAAGTTTGATTTCTGATCAGACTCAAAACTCTGCCTAAATTCCACGACTGACTTGGGAGCCTGAGGTCAGTCACAAACTCCTGTATTGAAGTTTTTTTTTCTCTGTGCCCTCTAGTTGAAGAGAGCTTACAAAATGCTTTTCTTTTTCTTTGAGGATTGCAAAATTCATCAAATTTCTGCAAGACCAGTTTGTACTCCAGCTGTTTCTCTTGACTGAGTGAGAAACTATTGTAACCATCTAAAGCCTCAGGCCCAGCAAGTCAAGAATAAAGCTCCTTTCTGTCTGTCTTTTCTGTCAATGTGTAGCAGATTTGGAACAAAATAGCGTTTTCACCATTTTTAATTCATTCATGAGGGCAGGGTTTCACAGTTGGTGAGGGGTCTTTTGCTTGCTACATCCCACATGGTCTCATTCAAATCCTACTACCCCCTCATGGTATCACACACAGCAAATCTTGACTCTATGACTTCCTAGCTGAGTGAACCTGGACAGCTCATTTTTCTTCCTGTATGCCTCAGTTTTCTCATTCATAAAATGAGAAGAGTATTACTTACCTTGCAGGGTTGGCTGTGAGGATTAAATAAGATGATGTAAAGTGTGTAGTAGATGCTCAATCAATGGTAACTATTGTTATTACCATTCTGAAATTCAGAGATTTCATTCTCCTCTCCCCTTCCTATCCCACTTGTTGTCTCTATCCTAATTCTGATCTTTAGTGGCTTACCTATTTCATGAGTATGGACCAGTCTCCACAGCCTGATGGTTTGATTCTGGAGGACAGGAACTGTGTCTTGTATTTCCCTGCACCACTACTGGGCTCAGAGTAGTCAGTTTAAAAATACTTGTTGAATTGAATTGAATGGTACTTTCTCATCCAACACACTATGGCTCTTCTATGACTGTTCTATGCAAAGAGAAGCTTTACCAAGACCCAGACACTATTAAATGATCAATTACAGTCTCTGTCTATGGTCCCAAGCTGTTTCAGTGGTTTGTATCTATCAGGCATTTGGGGGAGGGGGCATTTTGGGGATTGAACCCACGGCTTTGCACTGAGCCCTATCTCTAGTCCTTTTTATTTTTTATTTTGAGACAAGGGCTCGCTAAGTTGCCTGTGTGAGACTTGAACTTACAATCCTTCTGCCTCAGCCTCCCAAGTGGCTAAGATTACAGGCATGCACCACTGTTTCTGGCTTGTCTATCAGTCTTAAACATAGTTATTGGTTGGCAAGTCTTCACCCAGTCTTCATGACTTCCTCAGCAACACACAGTGTACTCAAAGCTTCTGCACTTTGGGAAGATAATGTGAGTGTTGGGGGATAGGAGCCAGGGCTGCAGAGTTACTCTGAGGCACACCTACCTGGCCTCACTGATTGAACCACCGCAGGCCTCTCACTGCCGGCCACGAAGCCAAAGCCATATATAGGGTCTCGGTGAATGGTCACTTGTCGCAGCGTCTCTGCTGGCAGATGCTCACATTCCATATCATTTGTGCTCTCTTCCTGCATACATGACTGGGGAAAGGGGAAGATGGGAGCAAAACAAGATACAAAGGGAGCTAAGGCTCAGAATCAGCTGGGAGGGACACTGGTTAGTAGGGTCTGGATATGGCAACCGAGAGTGAAGCTTCATTTCCTACATCCTCTGGAACCAACACAGGTAATGACTGCCTCATATTTTAGACTGAAGAAAGAAATCTAGGAAGGAGAAGCCATTTGTCTCCAGGACAGAAGCCAGGGGAAGAATATGGTGTCATGGAGACTAAAAGCAAGAGTCAGACCCTTCCTCTAAGACTCTGGGACTCCAGAAGAAGCCTAGGTAGGTACAAATGTATTATTCTAAAATTAACAGGTATTACCCATTTTAATTGGCTATTAACTCCCTAAAGGAAACAAAAACCTTGAGGGAATGGGTCCCTCAAACAAGGAAATAAGTAGGAAAGAAATGTGAAATCATTCTAGAATGTGGAACATCTTCATGACGTCCTTGACAAATTTTAAAGTTTAATATCTCTTAGGTGATATATAAAAAGGAACTATTTAGGTGGCATAAATAAACAAGTGTGCTAACATTTAGGACTGTTACTTTACACAAGTGCACACTATGCCAACTTATTTCATTTAATGGAGCAGCTGGAAAATGGCTCCTGGCTCCTATGAGCCAGAAAGGAAGCTGCGTCCTGGGGCTGCTAACAGACCTGAGACTCAGGGGAGCTGGAGAACAGAAAGCACTATCCTAACACTTGGGAGGGATTACAAATTGCCCTCCTGATGCCCACAATTTAAGTTACCAAAGCTTAGGAATTACCTGAGAGCTTTATAAAGTTTCTACATCAAGGGCTTGGTTGAGGCACACTCCAGACAAAAAGACTAGCCTGAGTGTATTATTTAGATGAAGAGCCCTGAGGAGTGAGGGTGTGGGGGACACAGGGCCTGTGAAGGCACTGAGGGTTAGGGACAAGGAAGGAAGTAAAAAGGGGAATGATGGGGCAGGGAAGGACAAAAGAGAGGGCTAGAGCCAAGTGAACCAGGGACTTAACTCCCTGACTTGATCCCACTCCTCCCCTAGGCTTTCAGGCCTACAGATAAGCTTAGGTTCCCTAACCTCAGTATGTGGATCCTCTACAAGTGAGGTTCCAGGCAGGGACCTTCAAAACAAGATACAGAAGGCTAGACATTAATTAATGAAACAGGTAGAGAACAAGGTTTGTAAAAGAAGTAGGAGGTTTTGACACTATGAGAATGATGCAATTGTTGACTAGCTAAGAATATCAAATTTGTCAGTGGCAAATGTTTCAGCAGTTAGGTTGTTTATCTGGACACACATAAAGTGATTAGAGCAGAACTTTAGGGTTATCTTTGGGGGGAGGGTAGATTAACAGTAATTGTATGAAAGAGATTCATAGTCTAGCAAAGAACCTTGGTGTTGTCGCGATCTTACCAGAACCTGGGAAGGAAGAAAAACAGATGTGGCTGACTAGAATCCAGTCACATCCACTGCAGCTGCATCCAAGCTAGCTTGGAAACTGTCTCTCACTTTGTCGGGAGGTGGCTGGGGATGCTAGGATGAGGTCAAGCCTCCAGAAGGTGAATTCACAAGCTGGCTCCCTTCCTCCCACCCTAGTAAGACAAATGGTCGCTTTTTAATTGAAAGGCACTCAGAAGCTGGACAGTGTCCTGGATAGACCCTCCTGGGACACAGGCTCTTTCAGGGTGGCTTCAGGCTGGTGCCTCACTCACTTCTGCTCCTGGTGACAGCCAGTAGCTCAGCCTTAAAGGGATCCAGAGAGTATTTTTTATTGTTGCTGTCCTCCCTCACCCTGGGGCTGCTTCCCAAATGAGCCTTTTTCCTCCTGCCATCATGGCACTAAAAGGGTCTTCTTATGAGATGGAACCAGCTTGTTTCCTATGTGGACACAATATGGGGCAGGCTGAAAGGTGGGAACCTACTGGGCTCCAGAGCTCCAGCATGAACAGAAATACTGGTAAGAAGATGCAGGCTTGCTGAGGAAGTGCTTGGCAAACTCTCCTGCACTCAGTTCCCCAATTCCTGGCTGCAAAAGCCTCAGCTTTATCCCTTTTTCTTTTTTTGGTGGGTGGGTGGGGGGTCATGGGGATTGAACTGACTTGGGGCCTAGTTCACGCTAGGCAAGCACTTTACCATTACGCTATATACCTACACCTTCCAAATTTTGTTTAGAAACAAGGGGTCATTAAGTTGCCCAGGCTGGCCTTGAACTTGTGGTCCTTCTACTTTAACCATCCCAATAGCTGGGATTATAGGTGTATACCACCCCACCAGGCCCCTTTTTACTTTTTCTGAAGCTGGGGACATTTCATTCTCTAATGGGCCTTGAAGTACCACCAGTTCTGATGAAAATGAGCAATCCTAAAGCCTGAGCAACCAGTGAGCCAAGAGCCTTTTGTGGGACAAATGTTCTGTTTTATTCTTTTGACTCATGTTAGTCAATCAACAAGTATTTATCGAGTGCCTACTCAGACAGTATAGAGCCCTGGGGGACACAAGAGAAGTTATAAATCTCTGCTCATGAAGAGCCTCCAGTCTAGCTGGAGAAGAATTAACAAGTATCCAATGCACAAGTGAAGTAAAGCACTGAGACTAGTAGACCAACTCTATAACTAAGTGCCGAGTTGTGTTTAGAGGAGAGGGAAAAGAAGCTGGAGAGGCTCCATGGAGGAAGTGGGGATTGTGCTGGCTGGTCAATAAAGGCAAAAGTTGGGGAGAGAGATGAGAACCCAAGCTCTGACCATGGGCATGCCCCATCTGTGCAGAAAGCCTAGCTATTTCTCTCACCATTATAGCCATGTGTCTGGGTGTGACTGGAGCACACTTCATTCCTGGTTAGAATTGTCCCTAACTGAGCTGTACTAATAGTTCTTAAGTGGATTCTCACTCAATTCTGCAAGCAGCCCTTTTCTCACACTGCCTGGGCCTTCCTGGGCATCTTGGGTCAGGACAGAAATTCCTCTATTAACAGACCAGGAAGCCATTTTACAACTTAAATGGAAGTTGTTCCTTTCCTCCTGGGGTTTGCATCTTTCAGTGTCTACAACTCAGTCCCTCTGAAATCTGCTAAGTGCCTAGAGACATGGGAGTGACACAGGAGGCAGGTAGTGATGGATGATAAGAGCTCAGCTGTCCGTGGATCATGTGACTTCCCTCTTGGGGGAACCAGAGAATTTGACTTTGAAAGATGTTTGGCTTCTGGTCCCTTCAAACAGGGCAAGCCTGAAAAAAATGATGAAGCAGCCAAAGCTTATGCTACTCTGCCCCACCCCTTTGTTGGTGGGTCCTGCTATTTTTTTCTGTTGTTTGCCCCAAAGCATACAATGCCTTTAATCTGTCTCCTTCCCACCCAAAGTCCCTAAAGGTATCTCCTCATCCTGTGTCAGGCTTGCTCTCTCCATTCAGTGACCTGGGTAAAGTTCTAATGTTTCTCTTCTGCCTAATGATAACAACACTTTAGATCTATGAAGTTCTTTTCATTTCACATCTATTACCTCATTTGAGCAAAGGTACTTTCACATCCATTATCTCCTCACAGCATCTAACTGTCCTTCCAAATAGGCTAGGTGACTGCTCCTCCTCCACCCCAGCCCCCAAGGTAGGGGAAGAAGCAGAGACCCACAGAGACTGTGTACGTTAGTGGTTCAACTAGAGCCAAATCTCTTGGATGGAGGCCACCACCCCAGCACCCCCACCTGCATCCACTCAGGGTCCTAGACCCTCTGGCTATCTAGTGTTTCCATTGCAGGGCTGCCTATAGCCAGCAGCACTCCATGTCCTGGCCAGCCTCAATGCTCAGCCCACATCATAATTAATCTGTCTCCGATCCTGTTCATTCTGTGCTGTTGAGAGAATGGAATGAGATCATGCCTACAGAAGCACTTAGGAAGGTTAAGTGTATCACCCAAATATAGAGGTGGCGATATTACAGGTAGCATTATTCAGAGTAGCCAGAGGAACAGAGAAAGGGTGCTGAAGATAATCCTCAACTTGCTTCACACAACCTTTGTCCTTCCTCCGCCAGCTCCTGGCTTCTAAGAAACAGCCCCCACATTGTGCCTGTCCTCTGTTTTTCCAGGCATCTCGTTCTCTGACCCAACTCTCAGACAACCTCTCTATCTGCATGCCCTGGCTCCTCTGTGGGCTAAACTGATCCCCCACCAATCACTGTATAAAGAAGGATTGGTAGCTGCAGCTCATGCTAACAACTGTTGCTAGGCAGGATGTGGCTAAAGGACAGCTGAACTGAGACAATGACAGAATGCTTCTCAGCTGATGCTCTCCACCCTTACACTTTGGGGTAGGAAGACAGAAATTTAACAGTTACATTTCCAAGCATCGGCTTTTAGCTCTCTGTCCCTCCTTGTCTTGGATCCTATTCCTTTACATTTGGTTGGTTCCTCGGGGAGTCTTGTTACTCCCCTAGCAACTGGCAGGATTCAGAGACATGTGAGGCCAATTAGCCCTCTGATTCCAGTAACTGGAGTCTGACTCTCCTTGAAGCTCCAGAGATCCAGCATAGCAGACTAGCAGCTGGGTCCCCAGGAGATGCCATGTTCTCCTGGTGGCAGCAATGAAAGCACCATCCAGGAGGCTCTGAAGTAGCTCCTCTGGCTACCCACTCAGGAGCTTGGACACAAGCTCTTCTTTCTGTAGAGGAACCCTCATATGTATAAGAAATGTACATATCTTAAATTTGCATACAGATAACTGAATGGTGCACTTATTTCAGTTAGCTGCTCCTTACCACAGCAGTGCTGGTCGAATTTTAACATGCATGTGAATTGCCTAGGCTAGGGTATTGCTAAAATGATTTTGAGTCAGTAGGTCTGAAGCAAGGGCCAATATTCTGACATATTCCAGAGTGGTGCCCATGCTGGTGGTCCACATACTATACTTTGAGAAGGAAGACTCTAAAAGAATGCTCTTGGGAGAGCTACAGTCAGGTGGGAAGACTGAAGTGCTTTTATTCCATTGGGATGTGGCA